AAAGTAAAGTAAAGAAAAGAAAAGAAAAGAAAGAAAGAAAAGAAAGAAAGAAAGAAAGAAAGAAAGAAAGAAAGAAAGAAAGAAAGAAAGAAAGAAAGAAAGAAAGAAAGAAAGAAAGAAAGAAAAAGAAAAAAGTTCTTGCTGCTATCACTGGCAAGTCTAAAACCCAGTTTATATTTAATATACATTACTTGTTGTATTTTTATGTTCCTGGAAATAGATAATTTATAGATCTCCCCCTTTCCACACAGCTGGATGGTATGATCCTAACCTCCTCAGGGAGACAGGTGAAGAGACTGTTACTGGATGCCTATGCCGACCCTTGCTATGAGGTAAGTTTGAAGGAAGGAATGAATGAAGGAAGGAAGGAATGAATGTAGGAAGGAAGGAAGGAACAACTCTGAGACATGACAAATGTATTACTGGTATAATATTAAAGAAGGAAGGAAGGAAAGAAGCAACTCTTGAGTCTAAGCCACGACAAAATGTGCTGTAATGATGAACCTAATTTAAACTCTGCCCATGTGGTGTATTAGTCTCCACACTCTACCACTCACCACATTTGGTTCAAATTCCATGGAGCCAGCAGCCTGGGTTCATACGCCCATGCCTGGCACGACTTGAAAGAGTTTTATGAGTTGTATGAGAGAGTTCATGGCATCATCCATGTACCTCTGAAGGTAAAAGAACACTGTGACAATACAATTATCGAGAAGAGTAGGTGTGATCATGACCCAGTATACAAAAGCCACATTGCACTGCTAGTTACATGTACTTGAAAAATCATCATGCTTCAAATCAGTTGAGGAGGACAAGAGAAGAATAGTTTGTAACAACAAGATTACATACATGCCCTTAGCCAGGATTTTGAATGGGGGGGGGTTCTTCCCACTGCTTGAGGGGACCTCGATTGCCGTAGGCGCAAGGTGAGCGCCGAAGGTGCGAGGTTCCTATGGGGGTCTGGGGGAATTTTGAAAAATAAACATTCTAAAATGGCATTTCATGCGTTTTTTTGAAAGAGGATTTCAACTTTAAGAAAAAAACAGAGATTAATTTTTTATCAATGACCAATGGACCAGTTTTTCTACGATTCCAGTCTATCTTTTCAAGAAAAATCTTGGACCTTTACATAAAAAGTGGACCAAAAAGTGGACCTTAACATAAAAAGTGGACCAAAAAGTGGACCTTTGAGCCTTGTGGGGGGGTTCTTCCGAACCCCCCCTGGCTACGAGCATGACATACATGTATATTGCATTATATTCAATAAAGCAAGTTTGACATGTCCTTTCTTGAAAAAAAACAATTGCAGTCTCTCCAAGGTGTTGACTATGAGAGTGACCTGGACATCTTGGCAGTGACATCTGTCAGTCAGAGGGATGACAAGCTGGTGGGGCATGTCTGTCTCCATGACAACCAAACTGGTGCACTGCTGAACAGGGTAGAGCTGGAGGAGGCTTGGGACGAGGTAAGGTGTATTCACCAGTTTCCCATCCCCAGAATGCAAATGCAAAAATACCCCTGCCAGTTCAGAGGTATCTCAACACATCCACATAGAGTCACCCGGACATTTTGTTTCACTTGACACTGTAAGGATTTTAGACACTGAACAAGACTATTTCTTGAGAGGGGTGAAGGAAGCCATATACATCAGGGCCCATCACCCTACATTGAACCGCGATGGGGGGTCGACATCGTCTACCAGATACCTTTGACCCAGTGTTGACGTCACACTTCAAAGAAGCCACGTGACAAGCTTCACTGGGTCAGTCTACTGAGGAAGACCAGAGTGACTGGTCGAAAGCTCTAGGTGAGAGAATTTTTGTGTTGGATCAAAAGTTTTAACTTTAAACAGCTTGCTTTTCACTGTGTTTTAAGGTGTTGGGGCATTTTATGCTCAACATTAATTAAATTGCTATGGGGCTGACAACCTGACAGCAAATAGAGAATGAAGTTTTAGTGTTCTTTTCAACATGGAACATGTGGTTTGTAACGTTACAGCATAAGTATAGCGTTACAACTATAACGTTATAAACCACACATTTAAAAAAAATCATTCTCTATTTGTTTTCAGAGTCAACCCATAGTAATTTAATTAATGTTGAGCAAAAAATGCCCCGACACCTCAAAACACAGTGAAAAGCAAGCTGTTTAACGTCAACAGGATCATTCCGATGCCTTCCAGTCATATGCAAATGAGGGTTACTCCCTATTTTAGCATTGCATTCTGGGGATGCCTGTATGGGGAAACTCTTCAGATCTTGTTCTGCATTAAGTCAAACATTTTTTTCCTCAAGTTGTTTTTTTTTTTTGCACAAAACTGTAAAAGGTTTATTATTCACAAAATGTCAACAATATGTTTCTGCTCTAAGAAATTGGTTTGGAGCCTCTTTTATATGATATTCTTTATGATTTAGTTATTTTATTTATTTATTTAATCTTCGGACACCTGGGTGGCCTAGTTCAATTTTGACAAATTGATTTTCAATATTTTTGATCCACACAAAAATTTATCTTGCCGTTTTATCCCCGATAGGCATAAAAAAAATATAGAAACTTTATTCGCAAAATCATGCCTGAAGGCTAATTGCTTTTACAATCAAGTATAATACTCATTGCAATACAGTAACAGGAGACAGGTAACAACTGTCTGGAAAAAACTTCTACTTCTACTACTACGCTAGCTATTATGGGGTTCGACTTCTTCTTTGAAGGCAGTGGATAATGAATAGTCCCACATTCTGCAGAACTAATTATTGGGTTTTGTGATCTTAGTAGAAATGCAGTCTGGTGATCTTCTATATGACGAAAGGATGGAGAAATTATTGTAACTGTCTGAAATAATCTGTTTCTTTCGGTCTCATAGTGAGGACACTGGCTAACAAAATGTATTTCATTTTCCACTGCATTCATTGTACAATATTTACCTCCATGAAATGTGTCATGGAGGTTATATTTTCAGTTGCGTTTATCTGTCCGTCCGTCTGTCCGTCTGTCCGTCTGTCCGTCCGTCTGTTGGTCAACAAGATAACTCAAGAACGCCTGGATGGATTGGTTTCATACTTGGTGTGTTGGTAGGGTGTGACGAAAACTGGAAATGATTAGATTTTGGTCCCCCTAGTGGCTTCCCTTGGTACTGCAGCGCAACTTCCGGTTTTTATATCTCGCGATCTGGACATGCTAGGGTCATGAAATTTTCATGGAAGGTAGCTCTCGTGCTTGGGAAGAAGTCATATGAGTTTGGGCCCCCTAGCGGCTTGTTCTGGAACTGCAGGGCACTTTCTGGCAAAATGTTCAAAAGCCAATAAGTCCAGACAGGAACAACATATTTTCATTATTTTTGGTGTGTAGGTAGCTGAGAGAGAGATGTACATAATTAAATGCAAATTATGCAAATGAGGACTTTATTTGCATAATTAATGAGGAAATTCTATAATTACAGTGTTTTGCATTATACTACTTACATACATGTAATGTATGTAACCTATGGCAGGCGGAACTTCAACAGATACTAATTATGCAAATGATGACCTAATTTGCATAATTAATGCGGAATTCTATGATTTCGTAATGGTGAATGATGAGAATGCCATACTTGGGACATCTGTAAGTTAATCAAAAGTTAACATACATCACGATGCATATATCATGTTAATGCAGAGGTCATTTGCACAATTAAAGAAGAAATTTACACTTACATATCAAGATCATATTTCATGGAGGTATGAGGTCTCGGAATTCTAGTTACATAATGTAAATGATAATTGTACAATATTTACATAATGTAATAGATAATGATCCTGGATGTGTGCTAGAGCTCAGCACTTGAATGAGATTTAAAGTGAGATAGCGCTGATGTCTTATTTTTTGGGCCATTGCAGTTCAATTCCTTGGTTCTTGGAGATTGTAAAGTACAAAATGACACTGCATGTTATACGTAAAAGAGGGCTGCAATGAAGACAAGAGTTATATGATTATCCACTTCCTGGAATTGTAAGAGCCCAAGATGTACACTCTTTTTTTTAACTTGTATAAACTTTGTAAACTTTATTAAGCAATCAACTTTGTAGTCTTTAACAAGATTAAATTAGGTTGATTTTACATTTCATTTATAAAAAACATTACATTTAAAATACCATTAGTTTAAAAAGACAGCGAATTTCCGATATTGTTAAAATCTCTCAACATTAAACAAATTTATACAACACAAGCACAAAGATTTTGCGGGCATTACATTGATGAAAGAGTTCTGGGTATGAAAGAGTTTTTGTGTCTATTTGATCTGCTGAGTGGTGGTTTCAGTCCCGTACGGCGGCATAGGTTGTAGGGTGTCTGAACCACTGGGGGCAGGAACAGTCTACAGGGATGTGTGGTGTCTTCCAGGATTCTCTCTTGTTAGGGTCTGTTTTCATAATAAGTTTATCGCAGAAGGAAAGCATTGTTTTTGCTCAGTTTCTTCTTCTACTTCTTCCCAAGAAAATGATGCAATAAAACATACAAGCCAGCCAATCCCTCCTAATAATGAAATTTATTTCTCTAATTGCCACATAAAAAGAAGATAAAGATATTAATGAAAATACAAGTATGTGTACTAATAGTCTTTGAGAGATGTCCAAATTTCATAATTGTTGTAAACTTAATTGTACTTTCAAAGTTGGAGAGCATGGAAGCTAATCATAAGTTTATACATTGATTTTATACATTATAAAATAAATCATTCAACTGGGTAGGTTCTCCAAAGAGCCATTCAAAAGTTACATGACATATATTATAAAGATGATTTGAGTGTGGTATGATTAGTATGCAGCTACTATCTTCAATTGCATATTCTGCTTAGACTTCAACTGATTTAAGAAGTGAAGTGCTTATTCCCTACATCTTAAGTAATTAAAACTCATCATTCTGTAATTAAGGCCACACCAATTTAATTTGTTGGTTCTCGGATTCGCCTCTTCATTTTTTTCTGATTTGCAAAAAAAAAAAAAGATTCTGGTTCTGAATCAACTCAAAAATGCTCATATTTTGCCCTCAACAGTTGAGGAAATTCCTTTTCTTCCTAGTTGTTATAGTTTTTTCCATCTATCAATGCAGTGGTTTGATTAAGAGTTCAACATTTATACTTTAAATTTTAACCCAGCCTTTTTTGTTGACTTCATGGCTCATATTGTAGCATTTGGGGCTATAATAGGATGCCTAGACCTATTTTTTTCGCTCTGTCGCTTCACATTTTTTCTGAAAAAATCCGAGAACCAACAAATTAAATTGGTGTGGCCTAAGCACAACATTTTGAAAGCAGAAAGAATTTGCTCACTTTTCGCCATCAACAATATCAGCCTCACTCAGAATATCTGACATTTTTCTAGATACTAGACATTTATTTATTTATTTGAAATTGCAACATGGCAATACAATGTTGCCGCCAGGCAGTTGATAGCTGATATTGCGACATCATATACAAATATACACAATAGACACATACATCATTATGTAATCACTTGTGCAATTTAGCCAAGCAATGCATATTGACTGCCAATCAATGTGAATAAACAGTTTCAGTTTCAGTTTAAATTTTAAGACAAACATATTCTAGATACATGTATGACATGTTATGATTACTCTCAGCTTTCTTCTTCACTAATAAAATAACATTGACTGACTGTATATGACAGAAACACAGAACTCAATGAAATTTAGTTTTTTTTTTTGTTTTTTTGACATTGAAAATTATGTTTTTTGGTTTTTGTTTTTTTATGTTTTTTATGTTTTTTGGTTTTTGACACTGAAAATCTCTTCTACAATCGTGTGACTCAGAGATATGTGAACACAGTGAATGAAGGGCTAATTTTTGAATCACACAATATAATAGGTTACAGAAAGTTTGTTCAAGTTCTTTACATTCGTCAGGTCCTTTAGTGACTGAGACTTGAATTGTGCTTCAGCCATCACTGCAGCTTGTGGGGAGGACCAGTGTCCATTGGTTTTTCTCCATAAAGCGTTGAAGGTTTGCTGTCTATCTGTTGTACAGGATATTAGGTGTACTGTTCTCTTCAGAGCCGATGGGCTGCGATCCGTTGCCATAGATGCCACTCGCACTAGAAATCTTATTTTGTGCGGTAACCTCCACTTCATAAGGACTGTTGCCTTGGCTTGTTGTTGAGTTGCCATCTTCCTCTTCTTTCTTCGCATCTTCTGGCTCCGTGGGCAGTGACTGGGCTTCCGGTTGGCCAACTGGTTGCTCGACGACTGTAGCATGTTGGTCGTTGTCATTTTCCAGTGGTGTAGAATTTGTCTCTTGGTGGACAACTGGTTGTTTGACGACCGTTGCCTGTTGGTCAGCGTCGTTTTCCAGCGGTGCGTCTGTATTGCCTTCTGCATTTTGTGCAGACTCTGTATTGCTGCCTGCATTTTGCGGGATGTTTGCACAGTCTGCTGCATACAGGGGGATCCTCAACTCATCGCTTTGCCCCTGGACATCTTTCTTGTAGGCCACTGCATACGGCTTGATCTCTGGTTCTTCTTCGTCTCCATAGCCCACAGCATAGGGCTCGATATCTTGTCCGTCGTCATAGGACACGGCATATGGTTGGATGGTGTTGCAGTCTCCTGATGTCTGGTTTTGGGCAGGGCTGGGTCGGTTGGATGCTGCAGAGTCGGTGTCACCAGGGGAGCAAATTTCAGCAGGCTCGACCAAACCTGCATCATGGCAGCGATTGTAGATGAACAAACCCGCTAATGAAGCCAACACAAGGAGGAAGGGCACAAATACAGCACCGGTGATGGCCAGTATGTACGTGCTGTGGTCATTCTTGTGGTCAGTTGGGTCTCCCCCTAAATAAATGATGAGGTCCAACTCTGTTGAATGCTGTGAAGCTGGCGTGTCCTTCGAGTAGTTTTCAGCTGGAACGGTTGGACTTCTGGTGGCCACGTCATCTTTTACGACCTCGATCCCCCGTTTTGTGGAACTGCTGGTGTTGGCTTCCTCTGGCGGCCTGTCGGTACTGATCTGATGACAGAAGAAGTGTTCCTGAATGGAGATCAGTGTGAGATTTTCATACTGGGCAGGCGATGTACAAGTCAGGCTGGAGGGAGAACAGATCACCCTCTGGTGTCGCAAGCTGCAGATGAAACAAGCTAGGTTCTGATCACATCGCAACCAATTGTGTCCAAGATGTAGGTTCGGTTTTACGTACTTGTTGTGCTGCAGCTCCTGGATAACTTTGCGGTCAATCAGGGTGATGAGATTCATGTCTAGGTGGACGCGCCTCAGTCTAGTGGGCAGGAGAAGTGCATGGACTGGTACAGAGCTCAGTCGGTTTTGTTTTATTTCCAGCGAGACAAGGCGAGGAAGGCCGCGGAAGGCTTGGTTTGATACGACAGAAATGGCATTCTTGTTGAGACAGAGCTTCTGTAGGTTTTGGAGCCCAAGGAACGTGTCCGACTCTGCAAAGAGAGGAGAGTTGAGAGGAGAGCAGAAAATGATAATAAGGCCACACCAATTTAACTTGTTGTTTCTCAGATTTTTCCAGAAAAAATACCAGGCGACAGGGCGAAATGAAAAAGAAAAAAAAGCTAAGGCACCCCATGAAGGCAGGAAATGTTACAATATGAGCCATGAAGTCAACATACCAGGCTGGTTTATAATTAAAACAATACATTTTGAACTTTTAATGAAAGTTGTATTGTTACATTGAAAAACTTAAACAACTACGAAGAAAAGGACTTTCTTCAACCCCTTGGGGCCAAAATATATCTTTCATTGAACATTTTGTAGTTGATTCAGAACCTAAAATCTTTTTTGTTTTTGTAAATCAGGAAAAAATGGACAGGGCAAATCCGAGAAACAACAAATTAAATTGGTGTGGCCTAAACGAGAATGAATGCAGTCATCATGCATATTTGGCTTATTTCTTAGAAAATATTTGTCATGTTATGTAGCTTGTTTAGCTCGAATTTGTTGTTTTTGATCAATTGATTCCAATGGCATGGAACGGAAAATACAAAACATCAGGCTAGGCCTCCTGAAAATTAAAAAATATGTGGTTATAACTCTTGTAGTTTTCCCCCCAGGGTGACTCATGGTTTGTATCCATGTGGCAGTAACTTGTGTTCAGACAAATTAAGGCCACACCAATTTAATTTCTTGGTTAACGGATTTTTCTAGAAAAATAATGGAGCGGGCGGGCGAAAAAAAAGATAGGCCTAGGCATCCTATTATGGCCCAAAATGGTAACGGTAGGAGCCATGAAGTCAACACACCAGGCTGGTTCAAAATTTAAACAATGAATTTTGAACTTCTAATGATACCACTGCATTGAAAGATGGAATAACTGTAGTAACAACTAGGATGAAAAGGACTGTTTTCAACTGTTCATAGCAAAATATGAGCATTTTGCAGTTGATTCTGAATTTTTATTTTTATTGCAAATCAGAAAAAAACGAAGCGGGCGAATCCGTTAACCAAGAAATTAAATTGGTGTGGCCTAAGTGAGATTGCCCGCAGGAGATGATCACATCGAAAAAAACATTGGTCACGTTGCGTGCAGGAAATGAATAGGAAAAAAAAGCAAGTCACATTGCGTGCGGACGTGAGGAAATTATGTTGACTTCAAGTCCAAGTACATGCATCCCATTTTTAGGCCAATACATATGCAGTGCACTACAAAAGAGAGAAAGTATTGTAACAGATAGTAACGCCTAACACACATCATGTCATCCGCCGTTTACATTCATATTCCTGTAGTAATACTAGTAATCTCTTAGAATAGACTTGATTGTGTTGTTCACATTCAATTGTCATCAATGCCATACATTGTACCATGTACAACTGTCAAGCAATAAAGTTCATTCATTTTGCAGTATAAGAGTACAAAAGAAAATTGCAATGCCTGATACCTAGATTTTTCAAGTAAAAGTCACAACCCTTCCAAAAGGGAAAACACTGAGTCTCACCCTAAACTATAAGGTTACCATTAAAAACATATGCCTTTGAGAAAGAAGTCCTACCATACATGTAACTATTAGTGCCTTAATATGATTTTATTTTTCATAGTTTGGCCAAATCATCAAAACAATTAAGCTGGTCAAGAGCTGTTCTAAATAAATGAAATTTAAAGCATTCGATGTCAATGACATGAATACAATAGTCTAAGAATTAGTACAAGTAGAATAATCTTTTCGACAAGCCAATCCCATAGCCCTGCCCATTACTTCGAAATGAAAACAGTTCACAGATGAAAAATGAAAAACTTGCTTGGCATGGAGCCATTCTTTTATCGAGTCATGAATTTTTCCCTTTCATGATCAAGTTAGGGCCCGACCACATTTGTATGTAAAAATCCTTGTCTGGTTACAAACGTAACTGTGTCAGGGCATCTTTGGAATAACTGGACAAGTGTCTTACAAGACACTTGTCCAGGAAAGGCTGTCCAGGAAACTCTTGTCCAGGAAACTCTTGTTACAGGAAAGGCTGTCTTTTTTTTAAATCTTTCTTTATTTGAGTTTTGTAAATGAACAAAAAAGCATGACAAATATATAACTGACACATGTAGTACCACAAAACAAATAATTTTATTATAATAAACCTGGGAAACAGAAATATTAACCGTTTAGCAACCCCAATGCCGAAAACATATCATTTATCCTTTAGAATAGATCACAAATTTATCCTTTAGAATAGATCACAAATTACCTAATAGTATATATCTATTAGTTACCTACTACATGTACCTATCTTTAACCAGAAAATACAGTATTGAAATTTTCCCATTTTCCCTTATGTTTAATATGTACTTTATCTTGTTTGTATGCAATGTTCAATTCTAGTTTGTAAATATATGAAACAAAGGATTTGAAAGCAGACAGATTAAAATATTTGTTATGTCTAAAATCTCCCAGGGCAACAAGATATAAGCCAGAATCAATAAAGGGCTGTAAAGTTATTTCCAAGGCTGTCTTACATGTAGATCAATTTTTCTGCATCTGGTTCAGTCACAGCCTACTTGAATATTCTACGGCACCGAAGTCCGACAATGGCCTACAAAGAATGTGAATAAATAGATACCTAGACCAGAGATTCTTACCTAGACCGTAGATTTGGTTGTCACTCAGATCGAGACTTTCCAGTGATCGCAGACCTCGAAATGCCCCAGCCTGTATCGCAGAAACGTTCGACTTTTGAATCCGCAAGTGGACGAGACCTAAGAGGTTGGGGAAAGACCCTTCCATGAGTGTGGAGGGGCGGAGATGGTAGATGCAGATTTGCCGCGTGTTCTCGCCAAAGCCAGTCGGGACGGTGTCGAGACATTTTCTGAATCTGTAGGTCCTTCCTCCATGTCCTACCCAGCTGCAAATGCCGCCCTGTGCTTGTTCGTGGGGACATGTACATGTTAAAGGTGGTGTCATTACAGGAGCACAGCTAATTAATGGGCACCATACGTTTAGAGGTTGGACTGGGACAAGAAGGACATAAGTAGAGGCCAGTAACAGTAACAGAACCAGTGCCTTGCTCTGCAGCATGTTGTGTTGATGTGTGCCTCACTGAATTTCTGCTCACGTCTGCCGTGTTTTGAATAGACATAACCATGTTGAACGTCCGTGATTAAAGTAACGTCCCACCAATCAAACTGACACACATTTCAGTTCAATCTCTGAATATGTATTATTATATATAATTGGTAAGTGGCCAATTCATACACTCTACCCTTAGGCTCTGTTTTCATTTTATGTTGAAGAAGGAAATCATCTAGCCTCATTCGCAGTCTTGTTGGGTGTAGGCGTTATTTTTTCTCTGAGCGACGCGAGTAATATGCGGCCGTGAGGGACGATTTGCTGCCAAGGGAGTTCTTGCCGGAGCGCGAAACCTTCTCTCCGTGGCAAAAACTCACTCTGCAGCAAATCGTCCCTCGCGGCCGCATAATACTCGCGTCGCTCAGAGAATAATAACGCAGAAGCCCAACAAGACTGCGAAGGAGGCTAGAAATCATCCTTTTTGCACAGTTTCTTCATCTTCTTCTCCAGAAAAAATATTCAATAACATACATTTTTGTACAAGCCAGCCTATGCCTCAAATGGAGATTTATTTCTCTAATTGCCATTAAAAAAGAACATATTAATAAAGATATCCATCAAGTACTGTAAGTATTGTCTTTCAGAGATGTCTAAACTTTGATGCCTGATCCACAATTACATGTACATCTCAAAGATTGCGTACAAGTTTTAAAGAAGAATCTGTATTGTTCTTTTCAGACATGTGATCATACCATTTCCATGGATCTGGACACACTGGTTCACATTGTGAGAAGCCCACAGAGAAGATACCATTGTTATGTCTACAAGTTAGACAGGACTGTGGGACAAATAGATGAAGAACAACCTCGACACAAAGGAAAACGGAGAAAATCCAGCAGACGGGGAAGATGAAAACGCAGTAATCTGTAGATAGTTAGAAAGTCTGCCTTGTCCCACCGACGACCAGTGTCGGTCATGGGACTAGGTACATGTAGGTACTAGGTAGGTACATGTAGTTAGGAACAAGTGGAATGAACGTCTTATATATCATAATAATGATAATAATTAGAAAGAGCTCTAATGTGTAGTTTGTCTATTGTTTAGGCCACACCAATTTAATTTCTTGGTAAACAGATTTTTCTAGAAAAATAATAATTCGAAAAAAAAAGAATAAAAACAGGCCTAGGCATCCTATAATGGCCCAAAATGGTACGATAGGAGCCATGAAGTCAACAAATTTCAAAATTCAAACAATGAATTTTGAACTTTTAATGACCACCCCTGCATTGAAAGATGGAATAACTGTAACAACTAGGATGAAAAGGACTGTTTTCAACTGTTCAGGGTAAAATATGAGCATTTTGCAGATGATTCTGAATGTTTATTTTTATTTGCAAATCAGAAAAAAATGAAGCGGGCGAATCCGTTAACCAAGAAATTAAATTAGTGTGGCCTAATCTGTATTTATGTTTACCGAAGGAAAACATATTGTTTTTACTCAGTTTCTTCCTCCTCCTCTTCTGTTCCAAACACTAACCTCTGACCTGGCCAATGACATGATTTGTTGACGTCTGTCACCATGGTGACTGGTGTTGGGTTACATAATGTTGCAGTTTCATAATGTTGCAGTAACACATTTTATAATTATTATGTACACAGACGAATATCAGTGTCTGACAGTGTGTACATTCTAGCGAAGACCAAAGATAAGCCCAACCCCAAACCTCTGCTTGGAGAATATGTCAGTGTGGCCTTAGCCTCCACCAGGCCTTCCTATACGGGAATACGGATCATAGAATTCGGCAAAAAGAGAGTAAAATTGGCCTAAGGGAGTCCGGCCGCGGGGAGGTAGTTTCTTTCCCTCCGCGGCCAGTCAAACCTACAAGGCGGCCAAACTACCCTAGCAAATATTCTCCTATATATAGCCAGCGTAGTTAGTCTGGTAGAGACTAGTGAGGCCTTGAGACAGAAGGATCAGTTCTCGTACGTGACGTCATCGTCGTCTGCCCAGTCCTCGTTCCCCAGGTCTCGTTCCTCGGACCGGAGCGGCGGCGTGTGTCTCTGCTGCACGTCCCTCTGTAGGTCCGGCGGGTCCTCCGTCTCCTCCGCCCGCCGCTGGTGCGCGTGCCGCTGCCTGGGGAACGGTTTGTTTGTTTGTTTGTTTGTTTGTTTGAGTAAAGAGACTCTTTTTACACAACCAATTCAGCCGACGTTTCGGTGACCGTCTGTCACCTTCCTCAGGGCAATTCTGACCGGTTCACATTGCACTACAGCACAGGTGTCACTGCTATAGATGCATTCCCAAATTAATCTCCAAGCAGATCTTTTGGTGGGGGTAAGACAGTATTAAATTGGCCAGTCTGTAACCAGTGGTAGCAACAAAAAAGGGCCATATATAAAAAGCAAACGATCTTCCACCATCAACCTCTGCTTGGAGAGTATTCCCAAATATACAACACCTGTGCTGCAATACGATGTGAACCAGTCAGAATTGCCCTGAGGAAGGTGACAGACGGTCACGAAACGTTGGCTGAATAAAAGACTTGGTTGTGTAAAAAGATTCTCTTTACTCTGTGTCTTACCAACCTGATGAAACTATTCACGAATACATATAGACGCTAAGATAGACCCCAAATCTCGCATCTGTGCTCCCATAGACCATATACATGTACTCGTTATTAGAGTTAGCATACGGATTGATAAATACGGCTTTACAGATGTAATCGAACTGTTTGGCTCTTCGTTATAGTAAGATATATATAGATAGCATCTACCAGGCTTCGGGAGGCGGCAGGGAAAGAGTAGAAACTGGCCAAATAGAGCATGCTAGGGGAGTTGATCTGCTCAAGGAGGTTAAATACAAGTCTGCTGGAGAGAGCAGTTTGCCGCTCCTTGCAGACCAACTCCCCTGGCATGTTATCTCTCTATTTGGCCGATTTCTACTCTTTCCCTACCACCTCCCGAAGCCTGGTAGAGGCTAATATACATGTTATCATGAAAGTTCATCTGTGTTGGTAGTAATCATTGTAAAACGTTAAACTTTATTCCAATACACAATTTACAGAGATCAAATTTTCAGCGACCACTGTCTCCTTCATCAGGATAATTAAATGACCAATCACTTCACAACGTGATCTCGCGAGAGTTAGG